CAAGAACTAGCAGCCAGTTCCTGTGGCTGTGCTGGATCTGAAAACAATCCAACCTCAAGGGGAGAACTTGCTTCCGCAGGCTTTCCAGTCCCGAGTGGACGGTTTGTCACTGGATGGTGACCTGGCCTGGAGGGGATAAACCTAGGCCCCACAGGTAACAGATGGGTTCTTGACTGCATGCAGGAAAGATTTCACAACACAAGGTGACTGGGAGACTGATAAAGTTTTGGTTAGTGACATAAAGGAAGGGCTTAGAATAGATGAAGCAACAGGAGAGCCAACATCCGGTTGCTGGGTTCACTAGAAACGTTATCATAAAGAACTGGGCCAAGGTGGGGCTGCTGTTCCCTCCCTGGAAAATCAGAGAAAGGTGGGGCTGGGGACAGGTTTAGAGGGTCCCTTAGAATTTAAGTGATGCACACTCTGCGGGAAGGAGAGAGTAGGGGGTAAGGCATAGATTTGCTACCAGGAAGGAGAGGGCTCATGCTGGGTCCTTTGGATTGTTATTAAAGGCTGGGAGTTTAGGGGAGGTCTTAGGGAAGATCTCAATGGAATATTCTTGAGTTTTTCATGTGTTTCATTTCAGGGTCATGGTCTCCACTGATTTGTTGGCCCAAGTTATTGCAGCTGGTTCTTGATTGGCCCACAAGGTTTTGCTGCTTTTCTGAGCCTGGAGCTCATATACAACAGAGGCCTAGATATTATCTCTAGGGAGGCAACCTTCTGGAACTGGCTGTAAATTGCTTGGCTAGTTTGTTCAGCTGTCTGTCTCGGTTTCCCCATTCCACTTGCCAAAGAATTTTCCTAGCCTCTTACTGTTCTGTCTCATTGTGACAAATGTTTCTTCCCACAAACTACGTCAACAATACATCCCAACAAATAAAGGTAATTTTTCATTAAAGGTCTCACCATTACTAGTGACTTAGACCTACCTGCCAGGAGGATTTTCTCAAGTAATAAAAGAAAATATTCCTGCCTGGACTGCTTCTCCTCTGGAACTTTCCTGCCTCTGACCATGTTGGGGGATGGGAAGGACCTGGCCCAGGAGTCAGCAGTCTATTCAGTAATGAATTTGTCTATGACTTGGCTGTGCCTCATTGCACAACTCACACTGTCTTTCGTTAATAGAAGTGTTATTTTCCTTCTTCTCTTCCTTTTCCCCCATCTACTTTCCTTCCCTTCTTTCCTTTAATTATTTATTATGGAAAATTTCCATTTCAAACATAAGCAAATGTAGAGACAATAGTACAGTAAGCCCTCATGTACTCCTCAGCTTTAACAGCTATCATCATATAACCCATCTTGTTCATCCATACCTCTACTCACCTCACCCCTGGCTTCTTTTGTTTCATCCTCACCCACGGATATTGGTTTTTTTAGAGAGAGGGGAAGGAAGATGAAAGGAGAGAGAGAAAGAGAGATTGATTGCTTCTCATATGAACCATGAATATTAACCAAACCCAAACCCCAGGTATGTACTCAGACTGGGAATCAGACCAAATCTGCAACTTTTTTTTTCTTTTCAGTGGATAGGACAGTGCTTTGACCAACTGAGCCACGGGGCTAAGCACCCCTGGCTTCTTTTGAAGCAAATCCCTAAACATCAGTAAATTCATCGGTAAATATTTCCAAATTACTTAACTTATCTATTGCTGTTGCATTGTTGCTAGAAACAGTAATGAGTCTTTGAGATTATAATTTTGTTGATTGACATTTTGGGCTGGGATCAGCTGAGCGGTTCTTCTGTAGGTTTTGTCTGCTCTCTCAT